ATTTAAACTTCAAAAAAGCCTTGAAGAGCAGCATTTTCTTCCTTATGAACTAACGTTAAGGGTTTGCCGATTCATTCACTATCTTCAACTTGAAGAGGTAAAAATGGTAGAGATTGGGAAAACATCCTGCTGAAAGTCTCTTCCACAAAGCAGCAGTTCTTGGCTTGTGAAGAAACTATTCGAGAGAAACTTCCTTCTTACTAATGGAATACAAAAGCAGTGGGGATGATTTCGCGTAGAAATTCTCGCAATGTTCGCCTTGTTTGATTCGAAGAATAGGCAGGGCTATTGTTGTGGTGGAAAAGGAGTCTAAGGTGAATCTTTTGAAGGTGCTTTTTTTTTATAGATTTTAGCTACTTTTTCTCAAATCACTTTCGTAAAAAGCGTCTATTGATGCTTTTCCCTATCTAAAAAGCCATCTGACAAAATGTCCTCAGCATCACTGAAATCTATCGTCGTAACCTTTTCTCCTGGCTGACTTGCATTTCCTTTGACTGGATCCTTCCACCCTTGGATAATCATTGTTTTAAATGAGCTATGTCTTGTGGGTCGGACTGGCAAAGTTTCAACTCCAAATACAATTCGCCTCAGAAAGATTTTTATCTCATTTGTGCACGGTCGGACTTTCACCTGCTGAAGCCCTAAATTACATGAGATTTGGAGCCTTTCTCTAAATGAATCCAGGTAAGAAAAGAAGCATAAATAACACACACACACACACACACACACACACACACACACACACACACACACGCACACAGTCCAGCACTGCATTTTTTTTTAAATTTCCATTGAAAGCTCTGCTGATGTGGATACAAGAGTTTTAATATATCAACTTTAATTTTTCAGATAAAATTATTTGGGTAAACCAACTGAAACGTCTCGGTTGCTAGCCATTATTTCTACTCGTTGGTCACCTTCAATTAAGTCTCGTATTTTACCTGATGTCGATTGTCTTTCAGATCTGTTCATCACTTTCAATCCAATTTCGCCCTTATTTGAAACGAGTTATCCATTGATAAATTGTTAATTGTTTTCCTGGTATTAAAATTCGATAAACTTTTTCCACAAACATAAAAACTCTCTCAATCTTCCAAGTTATACTGTAAATTTGATACTAGTTTTTGTTTCAATTGTAACAGAATCGATCCTGCACCAAAGAAGGTTGTGTCTGTTACAAATTCATGACGGTCGTCTTCGAGTATAGAATCCAGATGTTGGCAGTGAATATTTCGGAGACAGTAGGAAAGCGTAGTGCAGGTTCGCAGTGAATATCGCAGCAAAGCAGCAGAGCGTATACACAAAAAAAACTGTAACAGTTTCTAATCTGGCTTAACTTTTAATCTCTTAACTCGAAAAACACTCGCTTCATTCAGGTTTTATCCCAGTAAATCCCAGTTTACTTTGCTGCAAGCAAATAACAAAATATTTGCATAGTTTTCTTATAACATGATTTTACCACAAACATTTTGAATGAGTCGCGTATGCTGATATATATTACACAAAATATGAATACTTGACCAAATATTTGTATATTTTTCTTTGATTTCTTTCCTTTTTAGATAGTAATCGTGTTTTCTTTCATCTTCGAAAAAATGAAAACGGTTAAAACTAAATACTCCTATTGTCGTTGAACAAAACGAATAAGAATAGTCTCCCAGCGAGACTACAACACGCATCCATTTGGATCTTGGAAGTCTAATTTACTATAAAAGTTGCTTCACCTATCGAGCTAATTATTCGTGGTCCGCACTGTAGTGTGAGTAAAGGAAAACGGCTAAAATTAAGATGAAAGAAAACCAGTAAAAATGAATAATCCTTGACGATGTTTCATATTGTCGCTGTCGTAATCGTTGTTGTTATTATTGTTGTTTTATTTCTTTTGATTTCTGTTGTGTACACATTTCTTTCCGGGTTCCACCCAGAGTCCGAAATTTAGAAATGCCATCATGACATTTTCCAATGAGCAATTTAAAAAGAAAATCACACATATTTTACATAGATAAAGCCCTTCGTAAGGTGTGGGCTGTACTCGTGAGAAAATTTTTTGTATTTATTTAAGGCATGGCTTACGAGGTATTCCCTTCAATTAGTCTATTGGAATCTTTTCCAACCAATCCGAGGGCTCCAACTACAACAGAGATTGTTGATGTTCCCATGTGCCACATTTATTATTATTATTATTATTACTATTACTATTATTATTATTATTATTATTCCTTTGATTTCTGGTGTGTACTCATTTCTTTCCGGATCCCACCCAGAGACCTAAAGTTAGAAATGTCATTATGACATTTTCCAAAGAGCAATGGGAGAAAGACGCAGTCCTGTATTCAGAAACCAGATATAAAATATTGTTATTTTTTTTTTTTTAACACATTTGAACTTTTCGAGTTGTTACTTTATTTTCTTTTACATATACTTGTGCAGTGTTACCTTTGCTCAGACTCGGCTTGCATTGCGGCCCGGCGACTGACTGATTTCGTCTACCTAAGATCAAATCACAACGTGGGTAGGTTAGACTAGAAATCAAAGCAGTTACTTCGGTAACCAGACATTGGAGGCGAGATGGGAACGACAAGGCTGATACCGAATCTAACCAGATTCCCATCCGAATCAGCAAAGGGTTAGAACGTCACAATTAGTGCCGCGACTAATACCGTGTCACATTGGTCGTCACCGGATAGCACGGTGGTGGGCGGGGAGAGAGGCCGGTGTGACGTCACTGGTAGCCATTGCCGTTTAAGAGACAGTCTCTCTATACAGTTACACGTCTGTCTGAATTTTCCGGATGTTTTTTGGTTGTTTTTTGTGCTTTTTTATTATTATTTGTGTCATATTTTCGATGCAACTGTAGCTGTTGTATGCTGTGTTATTGTTGAATATCTTGTGGAGTAATTGACGGGACGGGGGGGTCTTATGTATGTGTTTAATGAATAGGTTTCCTACGTTTATTTTTACGTTTTAGTTGTACAGCTTAAAGACACTGTTCAGACGTTGCTTGATCGGCAAAGCTTCTTCGTGGCCGAGTTGATCAAGGCACGTCAGATCTAAGAACGGTTACCCTCTGTCCGGGGCACGCAGGTTCGAATCCTTTCGAAGAGAGCATATTTTTCTTTAATAAGATTTCTCGAATATTCAGAACGGCAGACGAATAAATAGAATACTATTTAATAAATAAACGAAGCCTCTACTCAAATATGGATATCCACTAAAAATAACTTTTGACTAATAGCACACACGCATGCAGTTAGTTCCAGTTTCAGAGAAAGAGCATGTTACCTAGAATGATTGACAATCTGAACAACACCAGCACACACAAAAACCTCGGTCACGATGACTTTTGACTTCGTGCTAGCACAGCTATCGACGAACCCCCATTTACACGGCTTGGGTCAACTCATGGTATGGTTTTCAGGCATTTTCCGAATGTGCCGCACGCGGGGATCTTCCTCCACCCTCCAGACAGGAAGTCTCATTCCTGACAAATCGACTAACGCATATATATATATATATATATATATATATATAGAGAGAGAGAGAGAGACACAGAGAGAGACAGAGAGAAAGAAAGAAAGAGAGAGAGAGAGAGATTGTTTACGCCTAACAAAACATATAGGCAACTACATTAATGAATTCTATAAATTTTATCTTTGGATCATTTGAACTTTTATCTATCTATTTATCTGTCCGAGACTATTTCTTTCTTTCTTTCTTTCTTTCTTTCTTTCTTTCTTTCTTTCTCAGTCCCTTCACCTATCTATCTATCTATCTATCTATCTATCTATCTATCTATTTGAGCCTGTTTATATCTATCTTTCTTTCTGAGACTGTTTCTATCTATCTATCTATCGATTTGAGCTTGTTTCTATCTATCTATCTATCTATCTATCTCAGTCTGTTCATATCTATCTATCTCAGCGTGTTCCTATCTATGTATCTATCTATCTAAGAGTCTGTCCATATCTATCTATCTATCTATCTATATCAGTCTATTCATATGTATGTATGCATGTATACACTTTGGGAAGTGCTTGGAGACAATACTACGAGTTGACCCAAGCCTTTTGAGTGAAATTGAGTAGACGGAAGTCTTAGGGGTCGCCGTTGGTGGTGCTAGCACGAAGTCACAAATCATCGTGACCGAGGGTTTGAGCGTCCTGACCTTCTTAAGACTTGATCACGCTAGATAACGCGCGCTCTCCCAGCAACTCTGACGAAGATCCGCTCATATCTATCTATCTATCTATCTATCTATCTATCTATCTATCTCTATCTATCTATCTATTTCAGTCCCTCACATCTATCTATCTATCTATCTATCTATCTATCTATCTATCTATCTATCTATCTAAGCCCCATCATATCTATCTATCTATCTATCTATCTATCTATCTATCTAAGCCCCATTATATCTATCTATCTAAGCCCCATCATATCTATCTATCTATCTATCTATCTATCTATCTATCTATCTATCTATCTATCCACACACATACACAGAGAGATAGAGAGATACGTCTGAAGGGAAATTAAATAATCATAATTATCACAATAAATTTTCTTTTCTGTAATGAAAAATATCCTTCAGATCCGTATGATGAAATCGTAAAACCGAAACGGAGAATCAAAACGAAACAGAGGGAGTGGGCAACCGCGTGAGAGCGAAAGAGAGACAGAGACCGAAACAGACAGGGTGTGAAAGAGAGAGAGAGAGAAACATTTATCCACCGTTAAAAAAAATATATATATATCAATTTCTTTTATTTATTATCAGCGTCCAAGTTTTCTCTAAATTATCTTGACAAGCTGATAAATTTTTTTTTTAAAAATAGAAGAAAAAAATACGGTGTGCTTTCGGACTGGAGAGATGATAAACAAGAAAGGTCTGGCCCAGTGACACACTTTAAAATGTTTATTTAGAATTTCTGGGACAACGAACATTTCTTTTGACCTCGTCTCAGACGGCCTCCTTATTCGTTTGAAGTAAGCAATAGCGGGCGTGCATGAAGGCTGGTGTAAACATGTCGAGTGGTTTACAACTAAAAGCACATTGAAAGCACCGGTTCTCATCTCATCATCTAACCTTGTTGGACAGCATTCAAAGTGATGATTGTTCAGGAACACTCAGTATTGTAAGGCGCTTGTGACCTTGTAAAGCTTAGTAAATAAATAAGGAACTAAAAAGAATATAAATTAACAACAATAGCCAGCTACTTTTGGTCACCGATGGCAACCGGGGGAAAAATAAAATATCTAATTTTATGGGATCATTACCGAAGCTAGTAATGAGAATGGTAATCTGTTTCCTTATAAGGAAACATTCAGCATTCATTGATCAAGCAGCCAGTGCTACCTTCAGTTGAAATTTATAAAATCTTTCTCTTTATTTTTTTCAGGAAAATAGGTTTCTCAAGACCAATAGCTGTTATCGCTCTTTCTCGTATTGATGGGAGTTTCCTTCCTAACCTTTTATTTGAAGTCGCGTGGAAAGTCAATATCTTGATTAGGTCATTATGTTCTCTTCGAGTTACATGTTGTTGTGGCCAAGTAAATGGTTAAGTAATAACAAAAAACCAGGTTTGCAGATATATCGTATATTAAACTATAAGTACACCAGAAGAGTATTACACGACTAGTAAGAGTGTATCGTATGAACTAGTGCTCAATCTATTCACTGTTCCCCTAAGCCTGTTCTGTCTTAATAATCTTATAGTAGGCGGAGGAGTCTAACATAGACTTTTTAGAGGGAGGACACCACAACACCCACCTTTTCACCCTGACTCCATATGGAGTCTTTTTTTTATAATTACCACACAATACTTTTATTCAATCCTTTTCCACAAAAAAAACCCTAGAAACAACCACTTTGAAAAGCTATATACAGAAATTACAGGAATTTTTTTAAAATGTTAATACTTTCCAATAATCCAATGCGTATTGTGTTTTTCTGGTAATTCAAAGTTCATAAGTGAGGAGATTTTTTTTTTCTTTTTTACTCGTTCTTTTCCTTTTTTCTGTAGACATGGTATGAAATGAAAGATGTTCAATATCTTTTCTTTTTCGGGTTAATTTCTAAAGGTTCCGTAAATTTCCTTTTTATTTTGCGCCGCAAACGTGTCCAAGACGACGTCCATAGTGTCATCTTCTATGGGATCCCAGTCGACTACGCTTTCCTACCGTTTTCTAATTCGGTTTACATGACGTTTGTGTATAAACTTCGGTCCCTGAACCATGTAAATCATGTTACCAATTTGTCTATTGTCCCTATATCCCAGTGGGATTTTATTATTCCCAAATACATGAAAATAAAATTTTTTACCGATCTTAATGCGCTTTTTAATAACTTTATTCCTATTTTCCGCTTTCGTTTCACTCGGAAAGAATTTGTCAAACGCTGATTTTATTTTCCTGGCAAACATGACCCCCGCTGACGTCTTGGCAGAATGGAGCACTGTTATTAAGAGTTACACGATAGACCTGCAAAAATTGCTGTATAGCCGTATCGGTAGGAGTACCTCACGCCTTCCTCAGTGCTCTCTTGAAAGTGTCCACAAAACGCTCTGCCTGTCCATTACTTCTTGGGTGATATGGCGCCGTGGTAATATGTTCGATCAGGAATGACTGACAAAAATCCTTAAATTCACAGGATGTGAACTGTGTAGCATTGCCTGTTAGGATACAGTTAACAAGTCCGAAACGGGAAAATAACTCGTGCAAAAACTTTATTGTCACCTCCGAGGTCGGCTTCTTACATTTCAATTTTTCTGGCCACTTGAAATAACTATCAACTACTACAAGGTAGTAAAAACCAACAAAATCAATGTGTATCCGCGACCACGAACGGTCGGTTTTAAGCCAGGGATTGAATTTTATCGGGGGTTACTCTAGCAGCCAAAGCACACCCACCCTTTGCACAATCTCACAGTGTTTTCAAAATCCATGTCCATGTTGGTCCAGTAGACGTAACTCTTCATCAAACTCTTCATTCTTGAAGTTCCCGGATGGCCAACATGTAATTCCTTTAATGTTCTTTTCTGTAGTGTAGATGGGATTACTACTCTCTCTCCGTACATTAGTATGTCGTTACAGAATGAGTAAACTTCTGAGATATTCTGGTCTTTACTATTTAGTTTGTCCTTTACTTCCTTTATGAACTCATCATCGGACGCTTTGTCTATTATCTCGTCTATTGTTATAGGAATCTCCCTGACAGTATTGCACAAAGTACCTTTTATTTCGACCTCTGTTCTAATGGCAGCAATGACAGTGTCTTCCAGGGGTTCAGCATACTTAGGTATCAATCTAGACAACCCGTCTGCATGATAGATGTTAGTGGATGGGAGAAACACCATTTTGTAGTTATAATTGAGGAGAATGGTTCCCCATCTTTGCAGTCTATTAGCAGTAGGTGCTGGCAAACCCTTTTTTGATCCAAAGATAGTAAGGAGTGGACGATAGTCTGTCTGCAACAAAAGTACCTTCCATGAATAAATCTATGGAATTTAGTCACTGCAAAAATGATTACTAAGGCTTCCTTTTCTATTTGCGAGTAACCCCTTTCAGCTGGTAATAGCGTCCTAAATGCATGGGTTTACCGATCCATCCTTTAACTTGTGTAAAATGCACGCCCCGATGCCGTAGGAGCTAGCATCGCTGGCTACAATGATGTCAAGGTTTGGATCGTAATGAGTCAGGAACAGATCTGATGTAAGGATCTCCTTTATTTTCTCAAATGCTTCCTGGCATTTGATTGTACATTCCCACTCTATCTTTTCTCAATAATTCATTAAGTGGAGCTCTCAAACTGTGCATTCTTGAGACAAAAACGTTGTAATAATTGGCAAGACCTAAAAATCTTTGAAAAGCCGACACATTTTTTGGTGCTGGCATATTCTTTATTGCCGTTGCCCTATCTGGGTGGGGACGTCTTCTGTCTTTGTCAATTATTTACCCGAAGTACTTAATCCACTCTAAGAAAAACTCACACTTCCCGTCTTTTAATTTGAATCCGCAATCCTAGATTCTCATGAACACCTGCCAGACGTACGATTTGTATTCCTCGATGCTCTCGCTTTTCATTAGGACGTTATTGAGATAGGCGACCACAAAATCCAGACCATTTAACATCGTGCCCAAGACCTGTTGAAAAATGGAAGTGGCAACCTTAACCCCGAACGGAAGTCTTAAAAATTTGTATAAACCCTTGTGGGTGTTTATGCAAAGGAGCTTCGAGCATTCCTCGTTCACGGGTATTTCTAGATATGCTTCGCGTAAGTCGATTTTAGGGAAATATTTTCCTCCACTAAGCTTAGCGAATATCTCCTCTGTACTTGGAAGGGGATAATGGTGATCCTTTAGGGCGTTGTTCAGCCCCGTAGAGAAATCAGCACATACACGAATTTCTTTGCTCTTTCTTTTAATATAAACTGTGGGAGATGCCCACTCATTATATTCAACCTTTGACAGAACTCCCATTTCCTCAAGTCGATTCAATTCTTCGTTAATTTGATTTATCGAAGCAAATGGAACGTTACGTTTTTTCTTAAAAACTGGGTTTGCGCCTGGCTTTAACTCAAACTTAGCAGACATTTTTGTGCATTTTCCTAGTCCACCACTGAAAACGTCGGGAATTTTTTTTTAAATTCACTTTTCAAGTTTTCTGCTTCGTCAGTCACATTTTCGACTTTTTGACATAATGAGTTAATAGGCATATCCCAAAGATGAAACTGTTCTAACCAATCAGTCCCGAACAAATTCTCCGTATTCTTCATAATACACGCCTTTAGTTTTAAAGTTTTACCTTTGAATAACACGTTCGTTATAAGTTCGCCCATAAACTTAATAGGGTCGCCAGTTACACTTTTAGCTATTCGGTTCGTTCTTAACAAAGTTGGCTTATCTAGTTTTTTCCATGTTTGATAATTAATTATGGATAAGTCTGAACCCGAATCAAACTGTAGCCTTATATTTTTGTTAAATATTTGCACTTCAATATATTTCCTGATGTCACGACTTTCTGGTTCATCAGACTTGGTAATTTTTACAACACCTTTTTTTGTTTTATTCTTAATCCTGCAGTGGGAACTTTTGTGTCCAAATTTATAGCAATTAGAACATTTTTTTTATCTTTAAAATGACAATCTCTATACCAATATAATTGACCACACTCGAAACATGGTCATGACGGCAAAGTAACTTTATTATTTTTTGGTTGACCCTTTGTAATTTTTCTTTGGTGTATTCTTTTTTAATGCGACCAACGCCACACTGTTCGATGTTTTTCGAATTCTCTCTGACGCTCACGAAACGTTAGCAATCTTCGGCAATTTGTTGTAAAGTAACGTCGGGCTTGTTTTCAAGCTTGTTGAGTACCCAACGACGTATTTCAGCGTCTTTCGCTGAAATCAAACCCTGGACGAAAATCAGGCATTTAAAATTATTGGCACTTAACTCTGCCAATTTGAAATCATCGCAGTGTTTATTGACTACACTCGCGAAAGTAGTATAATCTTCGTCTTCTTTCCTGGTAAGATTCATGCATTTCCAACGCTTGTGGAACAGTGATGTTTTTTGGACTGAAGAGTTCTGTTAATGATTGAACCGTCTGTTTAAATTTCAAGACTCTGGTTTTCTTAGTCAAAATATAGTTAACAAACTTAGTATATTCTGCTGTGCCTAATTTCCTGAGGAGTAGGCGAACCTTTTTATGGTCAGCCCAACTTGCACAATCCGTATTGTATAAGTCCTCGTAACGTTTAAAGTACGAAGCGAATGCAATTTCTTCTTCAGGTGCAAACGTGAAGATTTCAATAGCACTCCATATAGCGTTTTGAGAGAACGTGTTTTTGCTGTCCTCATTTTGGATTTTGATGGATATCTTATACAAGTGCCTTTGCTCATTCTGTGTTTGGAGGAGCACTTATTCCAGTTTCTGTTGTTTAACCTGAATTTTTAGGTGCAATTCCTCAAATTTCTTCTGGTATTCTGCTTGTTCTCGTTGGAATTTCTCTTGTATTTTTGGTATTTCTGCTCCAACAGCAAATGTTGTTCCTGTTGGTGTTTCTGTCTTTCTCGTTATTTCTGTTCCAACCATTGTTGTTGTTCCTGTTGGTGTTTCTGTCTTTCTTGATATTTCTGTTCAAACCGTTGTTGTTGTTGTTCCTGTTGGTGTTTCTGTCTTTCATGACATTTCTGTTCCAACAGTAGTTGTTGTTCCTGTTGGTGTTTCTGTCTTTCTTGATATTTCTGTTCCAACAGTAGTTGTTGTTCCTGTTGGTGTTTCTGTCTTTCCTGATATTTCTGTTCAAACCGTTGTTGTTGTTCCTGTTGGTGTTTCTGTCTTTCTTGTTAGTTCTGTTCCAACCGTTGTTGTTGTTGTTCCTGTTGGTGTTTCTGTCTTTCTTGATATTTCTGTTCCAACAGTAGTTGTTGTTCCTGTTGGTGTTTCTGTCTTTCCTGATATTTCTGTTCAAACCGTTGTTGTTGTTCCTGTTGGTGTTTCTGTCTTTCTTGTTAGTTCTGTTCCAACCGTTGTTGTTGTTGTTCCTGTTGGTGTTTCTGTCTTTCTTGATATTTCTGTTCCAACAGTAGTTGTTGTTCCTGTTGGTGTTTCTGTCTTTCCTGATATTTCTGTTCAAACCGTTGTTGTTGTTCCTGTTGGTGTTTCTGTCTTTCTTGTTAGTTCTGTTCCAACCGTTGTTGTTGTTCCTGTTGGTGTTTCTGTCTTTCTTGATATTTCTGTTCAAACAGTTGTTGTTGTTCCTGTTGGTGTTTCTGTATTTCTTGTTATTTCTGTTCCAACAGTTGTTGTTGTTCCTGTTGGTGTTTCTGTCTTTCTTGATATTTCTGTTCCAACCGTTGTTGTTGTTGTTGGTGTTTCTGTATTTCTTGTTATTTCTGTTCCAACCGTTGTTGTTGTTCCTGTTGGTGTTTCTGTCTTTCTTGATATTTCTGTTCCAACCGTTGTTGTTCCTGTTGGTGTTTCTGTCTTTCTTGTTATTTCTGTTCCAACCGTTGTTGTTGTTCCTGTTGGTGTTTCTGTCTTTCTTGATATTTCTATTCCAACTGTAGTTGTTGTTCCTGTTGGTGTTTCTGTCTTTCTTGATATTTCTGTTCCAACAGTTGTTGCTGTTCCTGTTGGTGTTTCTGTCTTTCTTGATGTTTCTGTTCCAACAGTTGTTGTTGTTGTTCCTGTTGGTGTTTCTGTCTTTCTTGATATTTCTGTTCCAACAGTTATTGCTGTTCCTGTTGGTGTTTCTGTCTTTCTTGATATTTCTGCTCCAATAGCAAATGTTGTTCCTGTTGGTGTTTCTGTCTTTCTTGATATTTCTGTTCCAACAGTTGTTGCTGTTCCTGTTGGTGTTTCTGTCTTTCTTGTTATTTCTGTTCCAACAGTAGTTATTGTTCCTGTTGGTGTTTCAACAACTCTATCATTCCACTTTTAGATTCGTTCATTTTACTGCGTAAAATTAAGAAATGTGAAGAGGGAATTATTTTTTCTCTTTACCCTCTTAACCAACAATAAGTCTCTTTGACTTATACGATTCTTTTACTAAAAAACTTAAAAGCGGGAGTGGCGGTGAATTTTTACTTTACCCTATCAGCGAAAACAATAAGTCTGTTTGACTTGTACAGTTCTTTTACTGACTTGTTAGAATGGAAAAAATAACAAAGTTCACCAAGTTTCTTACCAACCACTGCACTTGTATAAATCCTCTTATTTTGAAGAGTTTCTTTTTTTCACTGTCAGTCTTGTAATTAACACTGGATACCCTTTTGGTCGTAGAGTTGGATTAGAATTCCTTTCTGCACCACTGTTGTCGACACTGGCAAAAAAAAAAATTATGATTTAACGTGAAGTCCGTTTCTTCAAAACCTTCGTCGCCAAGATGTTGTGATCAAGTAAATGGTTAAGTAATAACAAAAACCAGGTTTGCAGATATATTGTATATTAAACAGTAAGTACACCAGAAGAGTATTACATGACTAGTGAGAATGTATAGAATGAACTAGCTCTCAAGCTATACACAGTTCCCTGAAGCCTTCTGTCCTACTAATCTTATAGTAGGCGGAAGAGTCTAACATAGACTCTTCAGAGGGAGGACACCACAACACATGTGATATCCATTTTAGCTGTTGCTGCTGTCGAAAGTTCTCAAGTGATGTGATTTCTGTTACTTGTTACAGTTCTTTGTTTGTGGTTCTGTAACGTCAGTCCACATGGTTCGAAGAAAGACGGTTCTCGCTAATACCTACAGTGTTCATTCGACCAAAGTCATTTTTAATAATTGATATGAGAAAACGGTCGTATACAGCTAAGAGTCTAGATATTTCTGAACGGGTCTGGAGCCATGCATGACATCCATATGAATGTCTCCATCTGACGAGGCTATTTAAGAACATGTCTTGAATTTTGAGGTTAATCTTTTCATTGCAGTGCAGTGTTGGCGTAACAGGTACAGATTATTCTGTGTTCAATTTCCTTTTCTCCTGTACTAAACAGATTCATACGCTGAGCCATTTAAAGTGTTTAGTATTTACAAATTCCACATCTTTATTTTTGTTATGGATTCACGTGCTAAATCAAAATAATACAAAACTTAAGAGACAATGTATTATCTTTATTCAAACTATTGTCCTAATTTTTATTGTTGTTATCACAACGTTTCAGCCGTTGTTCCCTGTGGTCCTCCTCAGGTGTATATCGAATGTAAATAACGATAACTCCTCATCCCAGAAATTCAGACAGAAAATATGCAAATATGTATACAAATATTATCTTCAGTATCTGTCTATATTTCCGAGATGAGGTATTATGTACACTATTTACATTGTTCGGACTATTGTCCTCATCTTTGTTGCCATATTTATCACAACGTTGTATGCTCTGGCCTTCTTCAGGTGGTTGGAATGTCGAACTGAACCCTTTATTTCGCTCGCTGGGGTAGACTGTTCTAGTTCCACGTGCCATGTCTGATGGATGTCAGTTATCTCCTGTAAATTCACCTCTCCAAGTTCTCCAGGTCAAACTAACTTCATTTACTGTTGGTATAGGTTCTGGATTATTCTAATATCCTTCCCAAATATGTAAAGAGTACCTAGCAGACACTATTTACATTATTCGGACTATTATCCTCATCTTTGTCGCCATATTTACTAACTTCATTTACTGTTGGGATAGGTTTTGGATTATTCTAATATCCTTCCCAAATATGTAAAGAGTACCTAGCAGACACTATTTACATTATTCGGACTATTATCCTCATCTTTGTCGCCATATTTACTAACTTCATTTACTGTTGGTATAGGTTTTGGATTATTCTAATATCCTTCCCAAATATGCAAAGAGTACCTAGCAGACACTATCTACATTATTCGGACTATTATCCTCATCTTTGTTGTACGTGCCAAATTAAAATAATACAAAACTAAAAAGCGTTAATGTCACAGTTTGGCAATTTCTCACATAACTTTTCCCACCCACCACACCCAAAAAATGTCTACTCTCACGATACGTCATATGACCCAAGATTGAATTTTATGATGAGTCACCCTCAAAATTGCCCGATTCTCTCGACCATTGCAAACTCCGGACTTCACTAATTTTTGGTGCGATCTGTAGGCTTGGGATTTATGATCATTGTTTGTCACTGGACTTCATTTCATTATTAGCTTTCTAGTTTCCCGACAAATTAACAAAAGAATGTCTGAAATGCGATGCACATGATAATGTTTTAAATCATTGCAATCCATGCAAACAATAAAGTTACTAAGACACAAGTGGTTACTGAGAATAAGAAAAAAAGAGAAATATTGCACATCCGATTGCTATATCTGTTCACATCTAGTTAGAAATAAAATTAAATGTTCAATTATCTTATCTATACTCTGTGTTTCACGGATATTTCTCGTCAAGCATGGAATTTCCGCCAAACTCCGGAAATATAAAGTTTATTGAAGTTCTTTTATCTCTTGTCATCGAGCTCTTTGATTATAAAAAAAAAATTCCGCCTTTCGAATTTAAGAATTTGAACGATATAAATTATTAAATAATTAATTCTAATATTGCAAGCAAAAATAATAAAATAAAAAGTTTTAATATTCAATTTTAAATCAATACCACGAGGACGCAAATTTCATGACACTTTAATAGTCGGCGAGTATTTTACACCTGAAGATTGAGTACACTATTTACATTATTCGGATTATTGTCCTCATCTTTGTTGCCATATTTATTACAACGTTTCGGCCTTTCAGTATCTGTCTATATTTCTGAGATGAGGTATTATGTACACTATTTACATTATGCAGATTATTGTCCTCATCTTTGTTGCCATATTTATTACAAAACTTATTATACAGACAATGTTTGCAAATATTTACATTATTTTTATTCAGACTATTGTAATAAACTTTGTTGTTGTTATTACAACGTTTCAGCCGTTGTTCCCTGTGGTCATCCTCAGGTGTATATCGAATGTAAATAAGGTAAATAATGATAACTTCTCATCCCAGAAATTCAGACAGAAAGTATGCCAATATGTATACAAATATAATCATCATCATCATCATCATCATCATCATCATCATCATCATCATCATCATCATCGTGACTGGGTGTGGTCGAAGGGTCACTGAACATTTGACCAATTCTTTCAACCTATCTAGGTAGAAAGCCAGAAAAGTATTCGTTCATGTGTAGCGTGTCATAGGAGAGTAAACCTGGCGAAGCCCGTCCTTCTCCAGGTCAAACAGCTGATGTCCTCCAACTTGTAGAAGCTGTGTCTGCCATCAACATTGTCACCTGCATATCTTATGTTGTTAAGATTTGGCTGTCAACAATGAATCCTTCTAGGACACTGTATACGTTGAATGAGTCTGGTGAGAAGACACATCTTTGTCTCGCACCTCTTTCTGTTTTCGTATATTTACTAAATTCATTTACCATTGGTATAGGTTCTGGATTATTTTAATATCCTTCCCAAATATGTAAAGACTACCTAGCAGACACTATTTACATTATTCGGACTATTATCCTCATCTTTGTCACCATATTTTTCACAACGTTTCGGCCGTTGTACACGCCAGTCTTCTTCAGGTGGTTGGAATGTCGAACTGAGCCCTTTATTTCGCTCGCTGGGGTAAACTGTTCTTGTTACACGTGCCATATCTAATGGATGTCAGTTATATAAAAAAAAGAGAAAAGCGATAATAACAGCAAAAATTGCACTGGTAAAAATCGGAGGAAGACATTACGTTTATCAAACCCAGACTTTCATACACGGCTATCCTCGAGGTCACATGGCACAGTGGATAAAGACCTTAGTTAGATCCGGTAAACGTGTGAGTTCAATACCTGGTAAAGTCTGTGGAGAACTTGGAAAGGGGAATTAACTGATATTCATTAGAATCTGTTATTTTTTCACTGCATATGTATATAAAATTTTGTAACGAAACTCTAACGTGTTAAGGATTTCAATTTTTATTTTTTTTTTTATTTATATATTATATTTTTATATATATATATATATATATATATATATATATATATATATAAAATTAATAAAAATTGTTACTTAGCTGATTGATGTTATATACAACACTTCAACTTTAGAGTTTCCTAGACGAACTTTTTTGTACTTGTTCAGTCCCACTCAGGTTTTCAGTGATTGACTTCCGGTTTTATCATTTTTCATTATCTTTGTACTAATTTTGATGTAATTACTTTTCTTTTATGCTAGGTTGGCACTTATCATTGGTGATAGGTTGTTTTTTACTCTCTCTCTCTCTCTCTCTCTCTCTTTTTGAGATGTGTGTGCATGCGCATGTGTATATGTGCGTATGTGTCAAAATTAAAAAAATGTTATTTCTCCTCTTCATCCTTTTCTTGTCTCTTTACACTCTCTCCATCTTCCTTTTTCTTCTTTTTTTTTCCTCTTTTGGCTCTGAGTACTATGTGTGTGTGTGTGTGTGTGTGTGTGTGTGTGTGTGTGTGTGTGTGTGTGTGTGTGTGTGTGTGTGTGTGTGTGCACGCTTGTGTTTATTAGGACAGAATTTTTTCATTTATACGAGTTTACAAGTTTGGTTAAAAACCAACGGAAGTTCTTTATTTAGTAATTTTTTTTTTTTTTTTTTAATTATTGTTTCTTCATTTCGTGAGATTTTTTTTCTGAATTCATGATTCTTTTTCTGGTTTCCGGTTCATATTTACATATGCTCACATTTTTTGCGAGTGGGGTCGGGGAAAGTCCTTTGTTAAGAATAAAAAAAAAATGAACAAAAAAATCTTTACCAAAGAACTTTCGTGACATTCTTCGTGACAAGATGAATGCTATCTGGCCATTTCTTTCCTTCCTTACAGATACTTGAATGTTGAATGTACCAGAGGGGTTCCTTTGGGCTATTCGTGACCGGAAACTCATAGACAGAAGCATGGTTGCTTTGTATACACCCATCTCTCGGCCAGCATTTGACTAGTTCGCTTGAAGGGGTAGAAACAGAAATGTTCATTGACGCCTGCGACAAAATTCGATAAAAGTAGACAATTTCACGACACACCCATCATGTTGTGCACATTCCTCATAATAAGACTAAGAGGCCAAGTGTCGTATGTGGCCTCTTTGTAGGGTAACTAAAAAACAGTGAGGCGAAGAAGTAATAGGAGAGTGGATATGATAACACGAAACAAAAGAAAGTCTTTATTTGAATATTTTAATTTTCAAATTTCGAATGAACGTCGTGTAAATGGAAAAAACATCGTTTTATTGGGAATAAGGCGTGTCACACAGACGTTTTAGAGTACGCTTCAAAACAAAAACAAAAGAAAGAATGAGATTTTTCTGTTAAAACAAAAAAAAAACGTGATAGGTAAACACCATTATCAACCGTTTTGAAGTTTTCCTATATTGCTATTTAATACTAAATTATAATTTCTACTCCATCTTGCATATCTAAGTGTAATATGAAAGATCTAAGGGAGACAACTCCTAATATATTTTTAATAATTATTTCCCTTCAATTTTTTTTTACTTTTTCCTTTGTTCTGATGATTGTTAGGTTGCAACAAAGTGTGACTGTTACCATATATAACTCGGTTCTGCCTGCCGCATGGTTGTGTCATCAGGGAGCAAAACCGAACCACACTTTATATATATATATATATATATATATATATATATATATATATATATATATATATATATATATATATTTATATCATATCAATATCTATCTCAGCTTTATATCACTCTCTCTCTATATATATCAATTTGTTTATATCTATTTCAGTCACTTCATATCTCTCTATCAATTTGTTCATCTCTCTCTCTCTATAGAGAGAGGGGAGAGAGAGATGAACAAATTGATATATATATAGAGAGATAGAGAGAGAGAAGGAGAGATACGAAGCCACTGAGATAGATAGATAGATAGATAGATAGATAGATAGATAGATAGATAGATAGTGTTCACAGTTAATGTTATTGAGTGATGGCTTTTTCTTTTTTATTATTAGGGCTTCCATCATTTTTAATCTTTTTTTACATCTGGATGAGTTTAATAGGCTTGTATTTTCTGCTAGTATATTCGAATGGAGTCTGGTGTGTGATTAAATGAGTCCTAATGGAGCTATGCTCGGGTAGATGTAACGTAAGTCGTTTGAAATAGATAATTTAACTGTTGTTGTGCATTTCTTTGTGATATTTCTTAGTGAAGATTCATCTTGCTTATAGCTGACGTGTGTTTGACTTTTGTAAAGAAATGTTCTAACCTGGTGGTCGATGAGATAGTTAGAAAACCATTGTTAACTAGTGTCTGTTTTGCATTGTTAAGTTCTTTAAGGAAAGGTAGACGAGATGATAAATTCTCGTGTGCTCTCTTTAGGAAATTTTTTTATAACTGCTATTTTGTATCTAAGTGAGAATTTACTTTTAAAATTAAGGTGGCAAGAGTTTCTCTTAGTGGGATTTTATATAATGAGGTGATGAAAGTGTTGTTACTGTATTCTACGAGAATGTCTAAGAATTGGAGTTTATTTTTTTGGCTCAATTCATTTAAACACACAGGAAAACATACCAAACTCCATTGAAAACATACTAATAGAAAATACAAACATCATCCGCATGTTAAAAAAGATGAAAAATAATGTAATCTCTTTTATTTTTATGAAAAAGAAAAAACGTCAACACTCAAGAATATTAACTATGAACACAGCCACAATGTGCTGACCGTGTTTGGAAAATAAAACTTTCCTATGTAACGCCTTCAGAGTCAATTTTATGGCTCTCGGGAAAAAATTGTAAGTCTATACCCTCCCTGGTCGTCTAAGACGTCCAGTACCGCGGCTGATCGATGGAGTGATCGATACTGGCCTGCCTTATACCACGTTGTGAATGGTTGATCATAAGGAGGCCAAAATCGATTCGTCGCAAGTATCCTCCTGTTGGGCTGATCCAAGCAGAGCGAAGTCGTACAGTAAAATAGGAGAAAAACAACACTCGAAATATTAAAAATACATATATACTATTTTTATATTAAGTACTGTGTACAATGGTTGGTTAATAGTTGGTAGGATCTAGGTGCTAGCATGCAGGTGTTTGTCGATCGAACCCTAAATCAGACGCGACACTTGGCTAAGCTGATAAGGGTTAACTTGCGGACTTAATGAAGTTTGTTTAGTTGACTTGATAAGTCTGGAAAGGCTGATGTCGGGGGCACACGTCGGCAGATAACTATATGCGTTGTCTCGCGTTCGACGGCTGGAACGGACTCTCGCTTGAGGCATTCGTATTTATTGATATCTGCCAAAAACTTGTGTGGGGGTGTGACGCAGTTGGGGAATTCGGTATTTTTTTCCATCTGTCATCTTCATTGTTTTTGGTCCTGAGAAATTATTTCCCAATTTGGAAAACTCCCCCTTTTCTCGGGTGACGATTGTAGGCATTATTCCTCCCACAGCTTCTTCCTCTTAGCATCTCCCACTAATACTCCTCAGTGGGTGTGGGCAGCTCCTTCACCTTCCTTGGTGTATCGTCTGTGCCTTCTACCCATCAGTGGTTGCGGGCAGATCCTCCTCCTTCCTTGATCTCTCTTCTGTACCTGTCACTTCAACCATTCAACGAAGACTAATTTTTTTTAAATTATTGTTCCAAATCTCATAAGTGAATTGATACCAGTGTTGACATTTTTCTGGCCTGAAAGTTGAATAAACAATTGGCCTTTTCCCCCTCGACCCAGAGACACTTTCCCAGGGGAAATCTTGCAGTTTACATTAGAGTGACAATCATTCGGCAGAATGTCAAGATATCGCCGTGTGTTTTTATTTAAAAAAAAAAAAATTAAGTCGGGTAGTTATTGTTTTCAATTCTGACATCTCTGTAGAAAGATTCGCCAAGTCAGTTTTATATTTCCTTCCCGTCCGAAAATAAAGAAATAATCTTTTGTTGGATCCCAAGCCATCTTGGGATACCGAGAAATGACGAGGCGCATTCGGAGGCAATAAAAAAAAGCCTTGAAGGATGCAATAAGAAACAAAATGTTTCCATACTTCAATTATAAGACGGTTGTAAAGAAAATTATCCTTAAAAAATGGCAACATCATTGGAATACATTCATTAATAACAAACTCTAAAACATTAAATCCACTATTGGAGAATGAAAATCAGAATATAAAAATAGAAAAGAAGAGGTCGTGCTGACCTGCCTTCACATAGGCCACATCTACATCACCCACTATTATTTACTAGAGGGCACAGAATCCCCAATATGCACTTACCTGCCAAGAGAAATTTACAGTGAAACATATAATGTTAGAGTTTGTCAATTTTGATCTAATGTGAACAAAATATTACCAAGTGAGTAATTTAAAAAAACTTTTTTACGGAAATAAAACCATCCAAAATTGTAAATTTCCTAAAAGATGTTGGATTGTAAGCAGAAATATGAGTAATTGAAAAATGGTTCAAATATATATGTATACATACACATCTTTTTTACCAAACTCTCGCTATGAATCTATTTCAAAATTTTGTTGGCATTAAATGACCCACTGAGGTTTTGATATGCCGTAAAACAAAACAACCAACCAACCAACCCGTCCGAAATCAGACATTGGACATTTGGCCCTCGTATCCTTCGGCTCGCCTCAGAAACATTCCTTAAGTAACCTTTTTACGTCTAAATGGCATTTAAAATTTTATCCGATTCTTCTCATCTTGATTTCACGGACACAGTCATGACGGGCATTATCAACCAATTGTCATCACCTCGGCCGTCGTCCAAATTAAGCATTGTTCTTAGCCGGCCATTTGATTCGTTTTAGAATCAGTATATCGTCCTTTATATTCATTAACCCTTTTCATGGTAATTTATTTATCAGTATGTAGCGATTGCTATGTTTTTCCACGCCCACATTTTATTCGCCTATGATTGGCTAATAAATCACTACTACTTTTATATAAGGCAATTTAGCCATCGCAGTCGTTTCTTTGAATCCTTCGATTTTGAGCTTGCTTGCTTGTTCCGTTTGTACGAATGTAGTGATTGGTTAATTTTTAACCAATCACATATTTTAGTGCAAAATTAAATTTTCCCGCGTTGCCGTGGGAGCTTACCCTTTTTCCATAAAAGAGGCGACTTTTTCACAAGTCGTCAGAAAGATCCAGTAAAATTCAACTGTCCATACAATTCCACGATCTTGCTCATAACATTTCAAACGCAAACACAGACACAGAATTTCGTAACATAAACTTACATTTCTCTCTGTGACTTAGCCAAGCTCAATCAACCAGGACTCTGTTGATTTCGAACCATTCTGTAACACAACACATTTGTTATCAATTGTATTCTTGTGTTATCTATTCTAACAAACAGACCTTGTTCTAATATTGATTCCTGAACATTTTTCTCTCAAAAAGAACCTTCTTTGAACAATCAATTACAAACCCAAAATACAATTAAAGGGGCCAACTTCTTTCCCTTAATCTATGCATTGAATACAATTTTATTGCATGTTTGTTCTTGTATGTTATTTCAATATATACTTATTGATTCACATTTGGAGTTTTGTTGTTTACTTGAATCCCGTATGTTGAAAGTATAATAATATAAATAGTATTGGTCTATCTACCAACGGGCACCTTTACAATTGGTAACCCCGATGTTCCAAAACTAAATCTTTCAACCAATAGGCCCTTACAAGTATATCGTTCTTGATATTCAAAAGCCTTTATTATTATTTACCAGCAACTAAAATAGTGTTGTTACACCTATAACTCTAGATACATACACGATACAATCCATATATTCAGTAAAAATAAAATCATCCTTGATAATGGCTAAAAATATAAGCACGGTGGAGTAATGGATTGCGGCTCGGATTGAAGAATCGCAGAGCCGAGTTCGAATTCCAGTCGAATCCATTATGTTCACTTGGGAAAGTTATGAATCCTCTTCTTCTAACCCCAACTCAGCTATGGGTAAATAGCAGGACAAACCAGGTTCTATAGCCTTGGATTACAACTAATCTATCGCAGAAAGAAATGGCAACCTACTGCGGGAAAAAAATCTGCCTCGTCAGTCATGTATCGAAAGATACATGATCGTCTAAGCGTGTATCACGCACGGTACATAACTGACTGATAACCGAAAGCGCTCGGACATGCAGAACTTTTGGATAGTATTTACCCACTTTGTGTCCAGAAAAGAAACCACTTGTACAAACACAAGAAAAATGAAATAAAAAAAAAAAAGATTAATCGCAGTGGCCTGTCACTTGTCTTTAACGAAATATATACAGTAGCGGCCATAATATAAGGAACGGAAACAACAAAGACATAAATATGTGTATTACTTAAAAAGTAATGCATGATTAGCAATGAAATTTTTACTGGATAAAGATTTGGGTGTAATGTATAAATATTATACAAAGTTACAAAAATTTACATAATAGTTTGTTTTTTTTTTAATTAAAGTTTAAATGGAACAAAGAAAATAAGCTACTGGACAAAAGTTAAGGAACGATGTTAATAATTTGCATAAACTTTTAATTTACATTGTTAAAAAACTCGATGGAGCTTTTCAACAATAAGTAAAAGTTCATTTATCATTAGGACTTTATTTTTAAGCAATATGGCAAATTTTACACGCAAAACGCTCTCCCTTGAAGAAAAAACTCATTATCGCTATCAAGAAAAAAAGTCAATTTCAGAAATTTCTGATATTGTTCATAGGTCTAAAAGTGTCGTTCATCGTGTAATTAGCAGGTATAAAACCGATAAAACGTTAGATGCAAAACCAAAAAACTGCTGACCTCCAAAAACATAAATAAAAGAAGATCGAAAAATTGTTAGAATTTTCTATAAAAAACAGTTTTGAAACTGCTACATCAATTGCACGTAAATTTAATGAAGAGACAGATAATAACATGTCAAGGAAAACGGTTGCTCGCAGGTTAAAGAATGCGGGATTACATGCCCGTATTCCAATTTTCGAAACCTCTCA